TGGGAATCTAATCAGATCCAGCAAGGCAAATAGAGTTGACTAGATATTTTAGGCAAATATTATACTATGTTTAACTTACTTTTTTTTCACTTCTTTGATCAACAAATTACTTTTACACACCAAATTTAACTGGACATGATTTCACCTAAGAAATCCCACAAGATGAGACAGCCTTTAGAGTGCAAATTGAAAACTTTTCTTTTCCTGCTTGGGGAGCCAGGCAAATACCCACTTGGCCAGTCTGCCTACTTTCAACTCCCACTAGATTCAGAAGAGTTTAGAATTCATGATTAAAGGTCATTACATCACCCAGATATTCCAAAGGTCACACAAAGATGAGATCCCCACTTCCTCAAAAAAGTCAACGTTGGTGAAGTTCTTGACAACTTAGTCCAACTTCAAGTTGTAACTTTATAATATTAAAACCAATGCCCTTGATATTCATGACCTACCAAGAGCATGGAATCAAATCAACAGGCTAAATATAGCTGCTCTTCAGACTGCTTAAACCAAAGCAATACTATGTGTGACTGAGATATGATATTAGAAACAGGGAAAACTAAAGCATATTTCAGATGCCTTGGAAAAGGAACTGCTCTACAGCTATTTAACTTTACAAGTGAAATTGAGTAAAACATTTCATCATCAACAGGATTTTATAAGCTCTACCATGATATGGGACTTAGAAGCCACATTCTTCAGTCCATCTTTCCTCCTAGTAAATGAATCTAAATAAAAACCCTGGAATCAAGTTGGAGAGCAGATTATCTTATTGACAAGAAATAAGGTAATGTGTGTTTGAAGTATGGGAAGCATTTTGAGTCTGGGATTATGGCTAAAAGGCTACTAAGGAATCAGAACTTCTCATTGGTTGAATGCTGGACTTACCGAGAAATGGATAGGACCAGGAAACTGACTTCATTACCAAAGTAAGTGCTATGGGTGACCATGGTCAGATTTTAGGATGTAAAGTCAAAGCTGAGAATCATGAATAAACGTTCAGTATTCTAGGAGATACAGCGTTGTAATCCACAGCTGAAGGCTGATAAGAAAGAGAGTTGAGAGATATGAACAGAATCTAGCCGTTAAAGAGAAATTCAGAATTTGAAGATGGAGGATAATGTCCCAGTGTGAAAGTCAAAGAAGTTCATCTAAACATCTGTACAAAAGAGGACTAGAAAGGACTGAATGTTCTATTTTGATTTTAAACAGGTCTCTGAATATGAGCAGAGACAAATTAGTAGATGGAAATTTCTTCCTCAAGAACAGAGAGGAGCAGCAGTGGGTGTCTCCAGCAGAACGTAAGAACTCTGAGTTAAACTCTAACTGTCCTGTGGTATGAATCACCACACTTGCTTCCTGTGCTGTCTGGGAACAAGGTATGGAAAATGTAGTAATGGGTAAAGTCCTCCATCCTGGCTGCTCCTACAGCCAGGATACCCATTCCTTTATTTCTGGCATGAAACTTGAAAGGTTTCATTCCTCTTGCTTACTTTTCTAGAGATCTAGCCTATTCTAGGATACATGTACATCCCAGTAATGCTTTTCTGGGTTGGTCGGAGGAGCTACACCGAGTCCCAACACTTTCTCTCCCACTTGACATCCCTGCAGTTTGGCAGCTACTAGTGGCAATAGCTGCCCTCCTTTCTGTGAAGGTACCCACAATAATTATAAAGTAAAGACAGGCTTCACTCAAATAATTATAAACCTCCAATTTATCTTACAGTTAGGCTCATGAACAGACGAGAGCAGCTACTGTGAGTGATGTCAATGTGATTTTCTCACATCCCTCTTCATAAAGGAACAGAAAGGGGACAAAACAGCAGCACTAGCAGCAATAACTTCGATCTTTGATAGCACCTCACAACATATTAGGTTTCCCAGGTGATACTAGTGGTAAGGAACACACCTGCCAATGAAGGAGACATAGAGACATGGGTTTGATTCCTGGGTCAAGAAGATTCCCTGAAGAAGGAAATGGCAATCCACTCTAGTATTCTTGCCTGGAGAATCCCATGAACAGAGGAGCCTGGCAGGCTATAGTCCATAAGGTCACAAAGAGTTGGACATGACTGAGGCAACTTAGCATGCACGCACAACATATGAGAATGTATTTGACTTTTGCCTCAATCTCAAGAAATAATAATGATTTTTCCACAAAAGATACACTTTATTTTAACTGACAAAATAATATATGTATATGACTAAAAATAAAAGATGCAGAATGATATAAAATTAAAAAGTAGTCAACAAATGTTTTTAAAACATGGTGTGTGTATGACTAGAGTGGGTGGGAGTCATATATATATGACTAGATCATCAAGCAGGTCTTAACTCAACAGCTAATTATTTTTTCAATGTCTGTTTTCCCCCTTGCTTTATCCAATATTAGTTTTCCATCCCTTAATGATCCCTCAGAATTATTCACAACTTCCCAGTTATTTGCAATTATTAAAAGTCTGTGCTCATCGATATTTTAATCTCAAACTCAATGCACACTGCACCTGCCCAGGCTTGATCTGGGCTTTTGCGGGGATCTGCAGTGGGTGAGAGAGTTTTTCAGTCCTTTGCTCCTCATCCCACTCCAGCACTTGAAACAAAGAAAAATGGCTTTGTCTGTCTCCCAAACATCTTTTATTTCTCCCACTTCTGAGTGTAGATTCTACATTGTTAGGGGAGAAAAAGAGATTTGAGTAAGAATGTTTACTCTGCCGGGTATGAATTTAATTCTCTGTCTGAGAGGCATACCTGTTCAAGCCCAGAGACCTTCTGAGTGTCCTTCTGATGCACCAGATACTCACGCTTTTTAAAAACACCCTTCTTAGAATGCAGGCCTCTCCTCTGTTGTCACACCACTCCTATTCACTTTCTGTGCCCTGCCATCTGTTTCTACTCCCCTTTCTGGCTCAATTCTTCACTTATCCAGGAAGAAAAGAACATCAATCCATGGAGATGGAGCCAGTCTCTTCATCTTTTTCTTTTTCAGTATACAGAGCAGTATTATTAACTATTGTCCAATAGGTTGCAAGACTTATTCATCCTGCATAATTCAGTCTGTACCCTTTATGGGTACCAATATCTCTCCATTTCCCCACCTTCCTGTCCCTGGTAATGCTCTTTCTACTCTTTGATTTCACATTTTTAGATTCCACAGACAAATTAGATCATGCAGTATTTTTCATTCTGTGTCTGGCATATTCCATGTATCATAATGCCCTCTCAATTCTTTCATTTTGCAAAATTACAGGGTCCCCTTCTTTTCTAAGGCTAAACGATATTCCAATTATATACTTTAATAAATATATCTAATTATAATAAACAATAATGTGTTATAATTTCTTACTGTCACTGAATAGTTTCTTATAGGAATAGGTTCCTTTGAAGAGTTTTATATGTGTTAATATTTAGGGACTTCCCTGTGGTCCAGTGGTTAAGAATACATGTTCCCAATGCAGGGAGCCCAGGTTTGATCCCTGGTCAGGGAACTAGATCCCACACACCACAGCTGAGTGTTCTCATGCTGCAACTAAAAAAAGATCCTGCATCCCACAACTAAAATGCAGTGCAGCCAAATTAAAAAATAATAGTAAGTTAATATTTACCCCCAAATTCTCCACAGTACTGTGATTTTTTTTCCCATGCTTCTAATATTTATTTTGATTTTTCAGACATCTGCTACTGGAACACATGTTGTATTTCTTTCTTGTTTGGAAATATTAAGAATATTACCATAACAAAGATTTGAGACAAATAGGCAAGTCTGGCTGTCTAATACATATCTTTAAAAGTTGGGCCCAAACTGGTTTCTTATCCATTAGTAACTCAGAGTTTATTCAAAATTCTCTACAAAACTTCCTCCCAGATAACCATTGTCCACAATGCTGTTATTTACTGCATTTTACACATGAGGCAAATGAGGCAAAAAGTTTTATGTATCTTACACAAAGTCACACAGCTAATCAGTGGTAGAGATGAGATTTGAACCTAGTCCGAAGGACAAGCCCACATGGTTAGCCACAGATCAACAAGGCCCACTCAAGCCCTAGGCATTAGTTTTTCAGAACTACTCATGTTTTTACCAAACATGGCTTGATTTTTTTCAGTCTTGAGCCTCAGTTCATGCAAACCACATGTCTCTGGTAAATGTTTTCCAAGCTCAATCAGATACCTTCTTTAAAATTGTGCTCAAATATTCTCAATATAATGTCACTACTGAACCCTCTCAAAATCGCAATTGTATTGTCCATTACATAAATAATACTGTGTTATTATTGGGCTTGGCCAAAAAAGTTTGTTTGGGTTTTTCCATACCAACTTATGAGAAAATCCAAATGAACTTTCTTACCAACCCAATATTTATTGGTTTAAATCCATATTATTCCATGAAGTGGGACCATTTTAAGAGCTGAAACCACCCCTTGATGATCTTTATATTCCAGATGCTTAGGTCTAACAGAGAGCAAAAATGTTTACTGAATAATAGTGATACAAGAAGAGAATAAATGCTTTGCGAAAATCATTGGGTGATATCAGAACTTTCTGTCACACCTTTTTATATTATTTCTAGGGAATAACCTGTGCAAATGACTTTAGGGAACCACAGCATCGTCACTCAATTCCGCCTTCTCGGGCTGTCTACTGACCCACACATCCAGGCTCTGCTCTTTGTGCTGTTCCTAAAGATTTACCTCCTGACACTAACGGGGAACCTGATGATGCTGCTGGTGGTCAGGGCTGATTCTCACCTTCACACACCCATGTTCTTCTTCCTGAGTCATCTCTCTCTCCTGGATCTTTGTTTATCTTCAGTCACTGTGCCCAAGATGCTGAAGGACCTCCTGTCTGAGACAAAAACCATCTCAGTAAGGGGCTGCCTGGTTCAAGGCTTCTTTGCACTTATTACTGCTGGAACTGAGTGCTTTCTGCTCTCAGCAATGGCCTATGACCGCTATGCCGCCATCTGCCACCCTCTACTCTATGGACAAATGATGAAGAAACAGTTGTGTGTACAGCTTGTATGGGGCTCTTGGGGTTTGGCTTCTTTGAATGCATTTATTAACACCCTTCTAGCTGCCAACCTGGACTTCTGTGAGAACCATACCATTAGCCACTACAGCTGTGAGGTGCCCTCTCTCTTCCCTCTGTCCTGCTCTGATGTCTCCATCAACCTCACAGTCCTGCTGTGTTCCAGCCTGATGCATGGATTTGGGACCCTCTTCCCAATAGTCTTTTCCTATGCTCGTATTGTCTCCACCATTCTGAGCATCAGCTCCACCAAAGGCCGAAGCAAGACCTTCTCCACCTGCTCGTCCCACCTCACTGCAGTGAGCTTCTTCTTTGGCTCTGGGTTTCTCCGCTATCTCATGCCAACTTCAGGATCCCCTCTGGAGTTGATCTTCTCTGTGCAGTATGGTGTGGTCACTCCCATGATGAATCCTCTCATCTACAGCCTGAAGAACAAGAAAGTAAAGGCAGCTGTGAGAAGAACACTGGGAAAATATATGCGATGGTCCAGATGAAAAAATGAAGCCAGAGGAAAATGGAGAATCAGGATAAAATGATGCCAGTTAGACATTATGAGAGTTCTCACTAAGAAAAATTTCCTGGCTCTATGCAAAGTGATATGTTACAAGATAAATTAGCAGTGCATGTGAAATGAACACAGACATAGCAGAGAGATGTCGGGGTAGTCTAAATACAGGGGAAATGATGAAGTAAATAACTATCTCAATCCAGAAAATGTGGTCATGAAAGTGTTGGCTCATTGTTCCCAGTACTCCCCAAATATTCACTTTGGTCTTATTAGGTAAAGTATTTGTATATTGAATCACTACTTAAAATTGAATTTAGAAAAATGCACTGAGAAGGTCTTCCCTGATAGCTCAGTTGGAAAAGAATCTGCCTGCAATGCAGGAGACCTGGGTTCTATCAATGGGTTGGGAAGATCCTCCAGAGAAGGCAAAGGCTACCCACCCCAGTATTCTGGCCTGGAGAATTCCAAGGACTGTATAGTCCATGGGGTTGCAAAGAGTCAGACAAAACTGAGCAACTTTCACTTTTACTAAGTATAACTTTACGATTAAGAAAATACAGATTATTGGATAAAGAGTCATAAACTTGGAGGTCACAGGAAGGAAAACAATGAACTTCAACTGAGTGGCCTTTGATGTAAGTAAAAGAGATAAAGGTTCTGAAGAAAAGTTGAGTTTGCTTTTAGGGATAGATGTTTCATGTAAACCTTCCCCAGACTCTTCCGTTTCTTGCCAGCAGTGGCTCACAGATTAATTTCAGCTCCTGGGGAGTCCTACTAATTTCTTTTACCAAAACTTACCTGGGAACACATCACTGGAGAGGGGGACACTCTGGAAACACAGAATAAGGAAAGTCAGACTCACTGGTACAATACAGAACCACTAGCTATGGTTTGGGTCAAGGTGGTTACTAGTCCAAAAATGCCTGCCTGGATCTGCAACTGAAGGGCAGTCACTCTCCATTTGAGTTTTTAAAAGTCATTACAGTTTTTTAAAAAATATAGTAAAACAGCATGGGTTCTGGTCATAATTTTTGTTGTTGTTCAGTCACTTGGTCGTGTCTGACTCTTTGTGACCACGTGGACTGCTGCACACCAGGCTTCCCTGTCCTTCACCATCTTCCAGAATTTGCTCAAACTTATGTTCATTGAGTCAGCAATTCCATTCAACCATCTCATCCTCTGTCATCCCCCTTTTCCTCCTGCCTCCTTTTAAAATTTTTAAATGAACAATTTTAAATCATAATTTTAGAGCATAATTTTTAAAGTGAATAATTTGATAATATCTGCCCACCCATTGTATAATTGTTCCACTTCTTGGTGATCCCCTTTTATCCATTTCCATCCTCTGAACTTTGCAGAACTGTTCCAGCCTCTTGCTAGCTGCCCATTCTACAATAACAATTTACTCAAAAAGAGGCTTATTAAATTCCTTTTCTCTAATAATAAATTTTGTCTATAATAGTAAAATCAAACCAGTCAATCCTAAAATAAATCAATCCTGAACATTCATTGGAAGGACTGGTGCTGAAGCTGAAACTCCAAAACTTTGGCCACTTGATGCGACAGGCTGACTCATTAGAAGAGACCCTGATGCTGGGAAAGATTGAAGTCAGGAGGAGAAGGTGAATGACAGAGGATGAGATGGTTGAATGGCATCACCAACTCAATGGACATGAGTTTGAGCAAGCTCTGGGAGCTGGTGATGGACAGGAAAGCCTGGTGTGCTACAGTCCATGTGGTTGCAAAGAGTTGGACATGACTGAGAGATTGAACTGAACTGACTGAATAATAAAATAATAAATAATAAATTTTACCAAATACATTGATTTGGTAATATCACAAATTTTGCATAGAAACATATTACACCTTTTAATGTCTCAGCATTTATTTTTCCTTGGCATTTGATTAACTTCAAGAATAATTAAATTATAGATTTTACACATACATTTTCTCCTAGATGTCATATAGTACTAAAATTATTTATCAATAGGCAGACATTGATGTATGACATACTAACTGTGGTTTTTTAAAAAATATTTCATTACCCATAGCTGTTTCTACTCACATTTGGTAACACTTTTTGTGACACAAGCGTATTGATCATAGCACCTACCACACATTCATTTCCTTATAGTAAGGGATTACTCTGTGACAAGTGGACTTAGAATATATACAGCAAATTATTGGAAGTTTATTTTATTTTCACTGTAATAATCACTTGATTCTATATGACTAGTAAGGTTTTTCATTTCCCAATGTTAAAAACATAAATTTAAATTTATAAAATTTAAATTCAAAAAAAAATTTTAATTCCTCTACTTATTACAAATAAAGGAATGAGCTCTCATATTACCCTACTAATAGTCATCTGTCTGATTTAGACATGGAAAAGATCTTATGGGAAACAATTTTGTGGCCAAATCAAACACCACTCTTTTCCACATGATGAAGACATCATAGACTTCTGCACTCTCTCAAAATATCTTCCAGATTTCTTAGACACATTGGAAACAGGAGTGGCATGGTTAACACTGGCATATCTGGTCTGGCAACTATTACTAAGACCATAGAAAAGGCATCTGACCACAACTGTTGGTCATAAAAATATAGGTGCTGGGAAAGATTGAGAGCAGGAGAAGTGGGCAACAGAAGATGAGACAGTTGGATAGCATCCCTGACTCAATGGACAGGAGTTTGAGCAAACTCTGGGAGATAGTGAAGGACAGGGGAGCCCCGTGTGCTGCAGTCCATAGGGTCACAAAGAGCTGGACACGACTTGGCAACTGAACAGCAACAAAAACAAAGATTATAGCTTTTTCTTTGTGAGCCCTACTTTCAATTCTGGCATAAGAGGACAAGTCCAAATCAATTTCTCATAATATTCTGTACTTTATGCCTGGTAACAATCATAAAATTCGCGCAAGTGTGTATCTGACTTAAATACTTAATGTTGTAAGAGTTTTTCCATATTGACTCAAAGACATAGTAAACATAAGTTTTAGTTATCTTAACATTCTATTACGCATCTTCTTCATAGTTGATTAATCCATTTCCTGAGAATGTCATTAAAAGCATATTTCACCGTTACATTTTTAGAATTCACTTCTTTGCACTGTTCAGAACACAATTTGAGTTAGACTTTCACCCTTACAAGTAACATTTTATTAGACTTCTTTGCACAGCATTTCCTCAGTTAGAATCACTCCTGAACTGGTTTAGTGGATTAATCGGTAAGAATATTGATGAGTTTCTTGTCACAAATTGACAGACTGCTTTCTGAAAGGGTGGACCCAGTTTAAAGCCAGAAATGATGCTAACAACTGTTTCTCCTTTGCCTTAGATACCACTGTCTTCAAAATATAATGTACTAATTTGAAAAGCAAGAAACAATATGAATTTTATAATTTGTATTTCTTTGGTTATTAGTGATAATAAAACATTCTGTGCCTTACTAATTATATTTATTCTTCTGTAAATATTTTCTTCATTATCTATTTTATCTATCTTAATATATAGCAGTCAATTTCTCAAGGTCTTTAACAAATTCACCTCATTACAATTTGTCTGATCATGGTTTTTCTTAACTTCATCATTGATCTCCCCCAGGTGAAGCCTCTTCTTAATTGCTGCCAAAATCAGAATAAATTTTTTTAAAAATTCAATAAGCACTGTAACCCTCCATGAATGTACCTTCCATGAATAATAGACTATTTGTATTGCTTTCCTAGGCTTAAATTGGGGCATAAACTCCATATGTATGTGTAACTCCAGGAGTCAGCATTCCTTAGCTCTGGGTCATAGGGTGATCTGTTGTTATCACCCTGAAAGAGGCTGGTTATAGTCAGCATTCTAGTATCACTTGGATGACAGTGATTGAGAGAAAAAATACTAAAGACTCAGGCATATACCTAAAAGGAAAGGGCACAGTAGTATAATAGCATAAAGGCAATCCTATAGATCTCAAGGCTATCCCCTCTATCATATCTGAAGACTATTCCTACTAGGCAGATAGAGGCAGGACAGATTCTTGAGAGGAAATTTTATTTCATTTTATTGTTATATTTTATTTGGTGGGACGTTTTAGGATCTCGAGTCCAGGAAGCAGCAAGAGAGAACTGCTCCAAGGAAGCTAGGGGAAGGGGACCCAAGATATACAGGAGTTTTGCATAAAGGGCAGGTAGTCTGAATAGCAAAATATTATTGTTAATTAAAAAATATATATATATCTTAAGTAAAGGAATTCAGCACTTTTTTGTGTTGGGAAGATGTAAGAGCCTGGGCTCACTAAAATCATTTCTTTGATAAGCACCTTAAAAAAATCACAGGAGCCAGTATCCTGTGTTTTCACATCCTGAGTTTCCTCAGGGCTCAATGTAGGGAGTGGCTGCAGTCTGATGGCTGCTAGATGGATGGTATTCTTTCCTTCCTCAGTAAGAGGGGCTCTTTTAAAGTGACGAGTTCATGATGTTTCTCATTTAAAAATAATTTTTACACATTGTATCTCTTTATTATTGAAGTATTAGTAACTTAATTTTTTGTTACTATGTTAAATAATTTAGTTGTAAAAGAGGATACAGTTTAAATAATTTTAAATGGACAAACAACAGATTCTGGTGTGTGTATAATAGTATCTCATTGTGGTTAAATCGCATCTCCTTTTCTTGGGCTCCAAAATCAATGCAGATGGTGACTGCAGTCATGAAATTAAAAGGCGCTTGCTCCTTGAAAGAAAAGGTGTAACAACTCTAGACAGCATATTAAAAAGCAGAGACATTACTTTGCCAACAAAGGTCCATCTAGTCAAAGCTATGGTTTTCCCAGTAGTCATGTATGGATGTGAGATTTGGACCATAAACAAGGCTGAGCACTGAAGAACAGATGCTTTCAAACTGTGGTGTTGGAGAAGACTCTTGAGAGTCTCTTGGACTGCAGGGAGATCCAACCAGTCAATACTAAAAGAAATCAATCCTGAATATTCATTGGAAG